GGGTACCACCTTCTTTCTTTTCTTGTTCTTGTTCTTGTTCTTGCCGTATGTTCTTGTTATGTTTTTTAATTCGTTCTCCAAGACACTTCCCTTAGGATTTACGGTACTAGACATAAACTTGTCGACCTGTGTCTGAGGTTTCATGCGTTCCAAGCAACACAGTCTTAATACCTACGCTCAAGGCTTCATACGCTCCAAGTAGCGTAGTCTAAGTCATAAGCATGATGTACCGCGGGAGGTCTTAGGAGGTTCTTGATTCATGGCTAGGGTAACTTACTCTCTTCTTGCTCCATCGTGGCTATAGGTCACTCCCCATGATAGACCATAAAGGTCAAGTGATCGATACATGCATGAACATGACATAGACCATAAAGGTCATGTGATCGGTGCGTACATGAACATGGCATCCTGCAAATCATAACATGGTGCAGGGCATCTCATCTAGGTGAGGGGAATGAGGCCAAACATGACATCCTGCAAGAGAAACACGATGCAGGGCATCCCACCTAGAAGAGGAAACAAGGCCTCCTTAGAAAGCACCCCATGGTGGGAGGTATGGGCCGCAATTGGACATGCTTAGAGTATTACCTAGTATTCTTGAATTTTGAGTCTTGAGGACTTTGGTCCCTTATGTTTGAGTGGTACCTAGTAGTTGTATAGCTTGTTATTGATTCTTAATCTTGTAAGTTTCTAAGGTTTTTATGTTTCTTGAGGCGTAGTTGTTATATACATTCGTGATTATATGAACCCATCGTAATAACTAGCATGAGTTATTCTAGAAGGTCATAAGTTCATAATGGACTCCTTAGAGGGTTCTAGAAGGGTCTTGATTCTTGACATGTTTCCTTTAGGCGTTTCCTAAGTTTCATCTTGGTTTAGGTTCCAAACTTGTTCCAACCACCTTGTAATCTTGAACTTGTTCTCAAGTCATATAGAGTAGGCCTTAAAGAGAATAGTTGGTAAGTTGGAGCATCTCTAGACCTTGAGCTAGGATATGGCTACTTGTTTCGTTTTCAGGAACTAAGCCTTAGGGGTTGTCATGTCATGCCTTGTGTTCCTTGAAAACTCTTCCAAAGTAACCCTTAATTTTCTCCCCATGAATGCATAGGTGGCGTTATCATAATCGTGGCATCCTATTGGAAATTCATGATGCAGGGCATCTCGTTTAGGTGAGGGAGATAATAAGTTCATCGTGGCATCATGCTCATAGTACTTATAGCAGGGCATCTCACCTAAAGAGGAATAGGGGTCTCGTGGTACACTTCGTGATGGGAGATAACGGTTGCTCCATGCATGGATCCTAGCAACTTGTTAAGCATGTCATTTGCATTAACCTAGGTGTTTCTATGCATTCTTGGGGACCTAGGTTTATGCATAATGTCTTGGGTCAAGCTTGGGAACATACAAGTTCTTCTTAGGAATAGCTCCGACGTGATCTTGTGCACGTAGAGTCTCATTAGAAACCAAGGGTACTTGTGGAGAATCTCTTATTTCGTGGATACCTCTTTCATCATCCTAGGAGGCAAAGTTGCATGGTTCGTGATATACGTTTTCCCCATATCTTGGTTTCGCTACCTAAGGTTTTCCAATGACTCCCAAACTTCATTTCCTTATACAACCTCTTGAGATAAGGATTCATACAACATTTCATAATGTTGGGAGGTCATTTAGGGCTTAACCCGTAGGTAGTCTTCCGTAGGGGCATTATGGTCATTTTACCCCTAATTCTTGGTTTTGCTCCTTAATGAGTTACAATGGCTTTCAAACTTCATTACCTAATCAAGCATCATAAATAAGATCTACTGTAGAGTTTGATAGCATTTGGAGGTCATCTTGGTCATGAACCGTAGGTAGATATCCTTAGGGACATTATGGTCATTTCTCCCCGTTTCTTGGTTTACCTACTTATCCTTATCCAATGACCGCAAAATTTCATACATAACCTTAGAATGATATATTATGCTCAGCAATAAAATTTCATAGGCATCAGAGCTCATTTAGTGGGTTATCTTAATGTTCCTTAAATCCTGAGTAATTTGGTCGGTTTAGAGCCTTAACTCATGGTTCTTGGATTTTTCTTTCATATATCCTTTTGTCATACTTCGTTTAGGGTTCATATGAAAATCCAAGCGATTCCTACAACTATTTCTTAAGAAAAATTCAATGTGGCTACTTACCTCATCGTCGATGTTCGGGACCTCCATTCTTGAGCTTCCGGTATCCGGATTACTTCCAATTTCCTTCCACAGACTACTTATTGTGTAGAGTTTCTTTTTGTTGATCGTAGCCTAAGATATTCACCTCTAAAGTTCGTCCAAAATCATTTTCCTCGCCGGAGCTAAAATAGGGGATTCATCATTGGGCAGCCAATTTTAGGGGTTTTCAAGGCCTTGTTTCTCCATAGAACCTCTTCCATATCCTTTCCTCAAGCTACAGGAATTGGTTTGGAGGAACTTCTTTGAGTGTGGGACCTTAATTTTGAGAGATCGTTCTCGGTATGCAACTTCCCAAAACGTCGGATTTTCGATCTCTTGGGTAACTTGTTCTACGACGTTTCGACTCTCGATTCCTTCATCAAAATTACTCAAATCCTTCCTCTGAAGCTAAAGGAATCCTTAATTTGAAGGAAAAGGGACCGTAGATAGGATTTCATCACTTATCCCCAACTTAAGCCCGAAATCGATTTCCTTCGATTGGGCACGCAACCGAGGTTATTTCTCTTCATGGTGTTCAACGGAAACACTCCGTGGAGGTGTAGAAATTTATTGCGATTGTTCTTGCTCGATGAATCGTCCTGTATCCCTGGATTGCATTTTCAAGCTTTCCTTTAAGTTCTTCAATGGGGGATTGAATTGGGGAAATGGTTTCTGGGCACTTTCAGCACTTCATTCCTTCATAGAACTTGTGGGTAATCTTGTTTAGAAACTATAGGAATACGTTTGGGGAGAAATGGTGGAGAATTACTCTCGAATTTAGAAGAAATCGGAGAGTAGGAGACCCACAATCTAAACGCTCATAACTCTTGAATGGGCTCTCAACCTTGCTCGATTCTTGTTCCATATTGTTGCCCCAACTTCAGACTTTATAGGAGAAGCTTAAACCGACATTAAGAGCTCCAGAATCGTGTGAATTGACGTTTTTGGATTTTATGGAATATCCGCCGGAAATATCTACTCCGATCAGAGCCTCACCGACTTTTGTTTTGAATACCAGCCGTTGGATGTGATGATCTGTCCGTCTTCTAGATCATATCCAATTTTGGAGGAGATCCAACGGCTGAGATTCAAGGTTCTAAAGATTTTGCTTAGATGGTCACTGTAGATGCTCTGATTATGATTAGAGGGGCATTTTCGTAATTATCCATTCTTCTAGGGGTATTTTGGTAATTTGCCACTTTTCGAATATTTTATTATTATTTTCTTCGAAAACTCTATAATTTTTCTAAATATTTCATCCCTTGTTGGTCATTTTTCTTTTCTTCAGCACCATCACAATATATCATATCATAAACAAGTCAATTTATCACATATCTCATACCATAACATATTTCATATCATATGACAACATATATATATATATATATATCCGTCATTCACATATCGTATCATAATCATACCATAGCGTAAACACTTCGTGGTCATATCGTTCCCTTACTTATCATAGCTTAACATCTTATATCTATCACAATCATGTCGTTACATGAACGTACCTTAGTCATATCATCACATGAACGTATCCTAACGCTATTGTTCTATCAATCTATCACAAACCTATCCCTTTCTACCCATATCCCTTACTACACATAACCTAACCATATTCTTTTATGAATCTCTCATATCCATAGCACTTCGGTATGTAACCTAACCTTAACGTTTCATGAACGGATCTTACTCCTATCGTCACATTTCGTCTTGTGCATCCTTATCGTATCCTATCTCAAACATATCATTGAACATATCGTACCGTAATTCACATATTATAACATATACATAACATATGATAAGCATATCAATCCACAAACAACTCACACATATCAATATATATGACACGTGCCGAACCACGAGGCACGTGTCAACATCAAATATAACTATGCCGATAGTAAGACCACTTACTTGATTAGCTTAGGTTGATGTCCAGAAGTTATCATTAATGAAAGTTCGATTCTATCCTTTGAAATCCAAGCCAACCTATCTGAGCCCATGACATCAGTTTCAAGTTTGAACTCTATAAAATTATTTTTCTATTTTACATTGGTCCATTGTTAAAAGTTTTGAAATGTTATATAATTATGTTTTTATTAAAAATCTTATTTTATATGGTTTCTGTAGTATAAAAAAGTTGATAGAGTTATTTAAGTCATTCTGTGCTTTCCTGTCCTCTGTATTTGATTTTCTTATTTTTTTTCTTTATCTGTATTTACTCTATTGCCTTTTACTTTTCTTGTTTTTCTCTTTATTTGTATTACTCCCTTTTAATTTTGTTCACAAATTTTCTTTGCCATTTTATTTTTAATCTATTCATTTTTCTACTCATATAAATTTATTGATCTAATATTATTAATCTAGTGTGATTTACTAGAATTCATATAAATTATTGGCATTTAGTTTTTAACTCAACTAAACAATTATAATGATTTAATGAAGATTTAACCATGATTAGCTGTGATTTCTAAAAAAAAATAGGACAAAAAAAATTAAGATTTAATATATATCTTACTGATCAGATCTGTCTACAAGTAAATCTTGACCCATGAATTGGGTAAAGCACCTCAAATTAAACCTGTCAATTATTGTTTTTCTGTTCTTTTTTGCAAACTGTGATTTTTTTTTGGCATTGAGGAGAGATAATTGGGAAAGGAATGAGAGGTTACTGGAGAGGAAGGAGGAAGATTGTTTCTCTTTCTTTTAATAGCAAAGGAGGAGACAATCAATTGCTAAACGGCCCACTACTTCTCCGCAGGAAAGAAAGGAAAAGAAAAAGGCAAGTTCGGTATGTTTTACATATCTTTATAACCATCATTTCCAAGCTTCAATGGAACACAATTGTTTTCCATATCTTTTTTGAGAGCTACTTCGGCTTCACGAATGGCTCGACACGAGGGGAGCAGCGGAGCGGTTTCGATGAGCACGGTGGCTGTTGCAATGGCGTTGCTGCTGCTGCTTGGCTTCGAACATGGCGATGCTGCTACAACTTTTGTTGTTGGCGACTCGAACGGATGGAACTTGGGCACGGAAGGATGGCCTAATGGGAAGGTGTTTAGAGCAGGTGACATATTAAGTGAGTTTTCAACTCTCGTTTTGATAGTTGAATAGTAACTGATGTTTTACTTGCGTAATCTTATATGTTAAGAATGATGTTTTGATACTATGTTAAGAATGAAAAACAGAAGTGGGATCGAAAGTCCGAGAAAAGACAAAATATTCTACTAACCAAATCCTGAAGATAATATAAATTATATCAAAACACAAGTCCACTCGTTTTAAAAGCCTTGAGGGAAAGCCGGTCGTTACATTACGACTATATAAAATATATTCAAATAGTATCTGACCGATCGAATTCGCAGTTACATTTTTTATAATAAACTAAACGAATAGATACATTTTTTTTTCTTTTTGTAGGATTCAACTATAACCCAACAGTTCACAACGTGGTGGCAGTGGACGAGGGGGGTTATAGAAGCTGCATAGCTCCAAGAGGCGCCAAAGTGTTCAATTCAGGCAAGGATGAAATCATGCTCTCAAGAGGACAGAACTTCTTCATATGCACCACCCCAGGCCACTGCCAAGCTGGGATGAAAATTGCTATCAATTCCCTCTAGTTCTCGACCACCCCGTATCGTTTACACATCGATCTCGATGTAAATGTTCTAAGTAACGACGATTTGGAAACATTGTGGAAATAAAATAATTGATAATAATTAAGTGTGGTTATATGTATCTTATTATTATTTTTTCTCTTTGTTTATTTATATCGAAAAAATTAGGATAATAATGTTAATGCACTAAATTGTTTTATTATCAACAAAAAAATTAATATAAATTAGTATATTTCCTTAAATTATTTCTATTAATAACTTATATCGACATAATACCATATTTATTAAAATTATTATTTATAATAAAATAAGTTCAATTTATTTAATGGGTAAAGTATTTACTTTTTGATGGTGAGGTCGAAATTTAATATAAAAATATTATTTAATGATTCAAAATTAATTACTTTAATGCTTATAATTGATAATAATTTGTTTATTAATTAGTACTGGTTTACATTTCACAAATATAGAAAGAGAGATAATTAATTATATAAACAAATATAAATATTATTTATTGTGATTTATATAAATATAAATAATGAATTAATTAGGGATCTTGATTTATATAAATATAAATAATGAATTAATTAGGGATCTTGATTTATATAAATATAAATAATGAATTGATTGTATTGTTTGTAAGCTCTTTTTTTTTCCTTTTTTTTTTAATATTTATAGATCATATTTGAAATTTTTTATAATTATTTAAACATATATTTCATACATTAACTAGGGTTGTGACTTAAGAAAATCATCGAATCTTAATATGAAATAACGTCATATTAAGAAATTTTATTATCTTACATCTTACATGGTCATGTTGTCATGCATCGTCGTCATCATATAACATCATCATAGACCACTTACTTGGTTGGCCTTAGCCGGTTTTCGCTAAATTCGAGTACGCTTGTCTTCCGTCCCTTGAAGTTGCTCAAAGTGTCGGGAGTCGTTTCCTGTATGAAGTTCATCTCATTTCGTTAGCATTTAACATTTCTAGTATGAAGTCCATCTCATTTCGTTAGCATTTAACATTTCTAATCTATTTAAATTGAATTTGGGAAATAGAGAAAACCTCAGTTACCTTAGAATGAGCTATAAATAAGTAACATGCTCCATAACCCAACACTTATGTTATGGGGCCAACTACGGAGATGTCACCTAAACTCCACTTGAGAATATGAGAATAATGTCTATATAATAGTATGATGACAATTATGAGTTGAAAAGACGTCTAGGTTGCATTTTGAGAGCCTCTAAGGTTATTTATAAGTATCAATGAGGTGTTACAATCATGGTCAAAGTGTTATAGAAATTTTATGGAGATAGATTACAATATGTCTTAAATTTAAGAAGAATTTGGGCAAAGGATGGCCATGATTACAATGGTAGAATCTGTCTCTAAATCAACTAAAAGTTCCATGGTAATCTTCCCTATACCTTACACCAATATATTTCATTGCTCAATCTAAACAATTTTTTTTTCTTTTTTTTTAGGGTAGAAAAATAGTCCATTTCAAGATGTTTCAAAGGTATTGTCCTAGTTAAGGTTCCAAGACCCTTTATTTGAAGTTAGATTTAGTATCCCAATTTCTATTACATGTAATGATATCCACTATGCCTCTGCAATACCAATTATCTGTGCCCTCTTTCTACCATGGGAATCTTTTAAAATGAGTTTGTGAGGATATATAGGTAAATGGGTATGATGTTGGACATTTAGCAAGGTTTAGAGGATGTGACTTGTTTTGAGGATGTGACTTGAAAGTCCAAGTAACACATGAAACTAGTTAAACCATTAATCTAGTTAAAAGAAGAAATCAAGTTATCTTAAATGACGTAAAAAAAAGGGTTGGAATTAAGGTTGGGTTAAGTATTTGATATTTTTCATGCATTAGTATCCACGTGAATGTCGATTTCAAGGATGTGCTTGAGCCACGTTAAGTATTTGATATTTAGACGAATCCTTTACGCTGAACACCGTCGGCAAGGAAGATGGAACGTCGGACTTCCGAACTTCTCCAGATCCGGGAGTGTGAGGCCCTTACAAACGAAATCTGTACCAAAAACGGGGTTAGGGTGAAGAAGAGACTCGAGAACGAAGAAAAAAAGAGGGAAAAAGGACGTCGGGATGACGTTATCGAGGAGAGAGAAAGGTCGCTGGAAAACGTGCAGGCAGTCGGGCAAAGAGGACGAAGTCTGACCCGAGGGCCGAATTCCGCAACCTGAACCAAACCCAGTTACCTTAGGTCGGCTCAGAACCTGACGGTTCCCGCGGCCAAAACGCTCTAGCCCAAACCTCCTAAGCCAGCCCGCTTGCATTTTTTTCCTTCACCCGCAAACAGCCTAGTCACCGCGAATGGCCTGTCACCTGCAAACGGCCCATCACCCGAGAACAGCCCATCACCTGCGAACGGCCCGTCACCCGAGTACGGCCTCGACCCGCGAGTGATTCGATAACCCGCACCTCGACCCGAGACCCCTGCACATGCGTCGCTCTCTGATTGTGCCACGTGGCACGTCGGCAGCGTGGCTCCCCTCGGCTCCGGCGTCTCAATCGGCTCGGCGGCGACTTATTCGACTCGAGAAACCTATTTCCAGCCCGTTTGTCACCGTTCCGACCCTCCCGAACTTAGTTTTGGCCCTGTTTAAGGTAAAATAGAACATTTTAAGGTCGTATTTCACAAATTCATGTTGGGAATTAATTATATTTGTGAAATACTAATGAAAGTGACGAATGAACCAATAGGAACCAACCACCAACGGAAGCGTAGAACGTTCATGAGGAGCTAGGAGCTTACGTTATATTCTAGGGAGTACTTCGGCTAAGGCCTACCATGTAAAAGTGGCTCACCCGTCGTAGGTTACGCGTTATTTGCTGTATGTTAGCACGTGCACGTGGATTTGCACGTGTCATTAAATTGTATGCTAGTTTAATGTGCTTAAGTATGAAACCATGTGAACGTGAATGTATGCTATGTATGCTGCTTAGTTTGATGTGATATGTTATGCATGTGACGATATGTGGTCCTTGAATGATTATGGCATGTTTGTATGGAATATGTGAATGTGAACGGCATGAATTTTATGACATGAAACTGTTGGGTTTTATGTTCTAAAACTCATAGTTTGTAAACAAAAATATATTCTATTTTCAATAAAGTTATTATTGTTGTTTATTCAGTAAAGATTTTTATTGAATAAAGTGAACTTTACGATCATTAATCTAAATCCAATAAACTAAGAACACTCTGGCTATAGTATGATTACTTGAACTATATGTAGAGACATAAGAGTGGATCAAGTTCAAGTATATAGTCAAAATGATCTATAGTATAAGGATAAGGCTGAGTACCTTATTCTGGGGACACTATGGATGCGACCCACTTTTGTATATGATATAAACAATGTGATCACTAAATTGTACATGTGAAGACATGTGAGTGGGGGCGTTCTATGCAATGAGTATTGCATAAGATCGGACCATGAAGAAAACCACTCTCACTTTATAATGTCGTTTACTGTTGAGACTGATTTTCTTTTCATTCGATAACCTAGGTAACTCGATTTTAATCCTGAGCTAACCAAGAACTCCTGTTTATTCGAAATTATCCTTAGAGATTTGCATGGGTGAGAGTGGCTCTAGTTCGCCGTCTCAATAGGCCTCCCATTTCAGGGGTAAGACTGGGTGAATGGTTAGGGACATGGGGAGCAAGATGGAATTCACTCCTACCCACTTTTAGAGATAGAAGAGAGGTAGTTCCCTTAAGCACTAACTCCAGGTCTTGAACAAGGGGCCCCACCCTCTCATTGGCCTGAGAGGGATTTGGTTTACTGGTTGGACAACAAACCAATTGTTCATTAGAGGATCAGTGAGACATAAGGAACAAGAAGTAACTTCAGGGGTAAAACAGTAAATTGACCCAGCTCTAGTTACGAACAACCTGTGAAGGATCGACTTACTAATCATGGTTATATCAAATGGACAGAAATATATGTATAGTGAGGGGAGTGCAACTACTAGGCTATAGTGGACTGTCATAGTAGTTAACTAATGTTGGTTAACAAGGTTAATGAGTTTAGCCGGTTAATCTTGGATCGTTGGAGCCCATGATCTATAGGTCCATTAGGTCCCTCTGCTAGCCCATATCGGACTAAACCATAGAATAGTGTGATGAGTGAGTCCGAAGTGTTCGAATTCAAATTAGGAAATATGCGCTACATATATACGATATATTTAACCGCGTTTTTATTTTATTTACGAATTAAACAAAAAGAGAGAATCTGAGATATTTAAATAAGATTTAAATATCTTAATCAATTATGTGTTGGGATTGACATTTGAATTAATATTAAATATTAATTAAATAGTTTAATTAATCATTTAATGTTACTTTAATTTGAAATTCATTATTCAAATTAATTGTTGAATTAAAATGAAGAAAGTCAAACTGTTGACTTCATTTAATGAAAAAATACATGTTAGTGGGATTTTGAGGTGTCAAAATTTGGTTTAACCAAACTTACATGCTTGCCAAATAAACCCCACAAAAGTTTGAGTGGTATTTTGAGTGTCAAAATTTGGTTAACTCAAACATGCATGCTTGCCATGTAATCCCAAACATTTGAGTGGAATTTTAAGTGTCAAAATTTGGTGATCTCAAATTTGCATGAACATGCAAACATGACTCTTTAAATAGAGTGATCATGGTACATGGAAGGTCTTCTTCTTCTTGGTGAAAAACCTTGAGAAAAACCTCTCACAAACACTCTATTCACATATACAAAATCCCTCCCAAGTTTAGTGACTCACCGGATTCCACAATCCCGTTCTAAGGTCGGAGGATAGTGGAGAAGACACTAGTGGTGGTTCGAAACCAGTTCGTGAGGAAAAAGGAGTTTGGACTACAAAAGGTTAGTATTAAACTCATTAAGTTTTAATACTTATGAACATGCTAGTTATTTACTATAATTGATGTTCTAAACGTGCCTAAGATCCAAATTGCTTCCGCATGTGTTATAATAACACCAACAGAAATACGATAAACTGTCTGGAATCATAACCCCTATAGAAATGTGTATGAAATGTAAATTGAAAATGAGAATGACATGAAGCATGGAA